CCCAAGAGTCTTCTCAGGCTGGAGAGGACGCTGGGCATTGCTGTCGGCGGGATGGATGGGGAGGCGGATATGGCTGCTGGTGTGGATCGGGCAGCGTGACAGCGCACATTGCGGGGAGATTCGTTCCAGACGTCACGCTGCTGCCTGGGAAGCAACGCCTGAGCACTGCTGTTCCCCCAGGGAGCCAGCGCCATGGAGGATGTGCAGCGTGGTTTGAAGACACATCCAGGGGGCCGTTTAAGGTGTAAGTCATGTGCACAGCGTCGCTCCTTCCTTCTCGGCTGGGGGAAGGGACGAGCAGTTCCGCCTGCCTCCTGTCTGGAGCGCACTGGCTTCTGCACGGGACGGTCTCTCTCACCTGCAACGCCAGTTTTGAAGACTCTCCAGTCTTGACGAAGCCTTTAATCGGCCAGATCACATACACTGCTAGGAACCGTGTGGAAATGAACTTATCTTGTAGGGATGTTTGCATATCTGAACACTGAATGTATCCTCATAAGGCAAGTTTACACCAATACCTCAAACTAGAGCTACCAGGTATATTCCTGGATCGTGCCGAGTTTGTTTAGAGCAAAATCGAAGGAAAAAATTAGTTATCAACTGACCTCAGCAACTCAAACGATTTTGAACATTATGAAGAAATCCTTAAAAGACTTGATAAAAGGTCTTACACCTGCACCATTTAAGAATCAATGCTCAGTATCTAAGTCCAAGAAATCAGTTAAGATGTGCTCTGTCCTACTAAGCGAGGGAGGAGCCTTGGTACTGCCCATGCCAAACCTAAGACCCTCCTGTTGCTGCAGGCTTCCGCCCGGGCCTGAAACTTGGTGAGATGCCTTCTCATTAAGGAAATTATTTCCAGGGATGTAAAGTACTTGCTGTGATGTAACTTAGCCCTTTTCATTGTTTTAGCATCCTGATTATGACAAGTGGCACTAGTTTATGGGGACAGAAATCTAGGGGGGCTATAAGCTACCCCTTGGTGCCTCAGCGGAACGTGCTGTGGGTGGTCTGGGGGCAGCACTGGGGCGAGAAGGCACTAGGTCTAGCAAGGCGTGTCCTACTTGAACGTTTCCTGACCCAAAATGTTCTAGATCAGTGACCCCGTCTCCATTCCCACACACGGAGACCGTGAGGTGCCATATTCCTCGAGGGCAGTGCCATATTCCTCGCTGTTTCTGTAAAGGGTCAGAGCTTCAGCACGTCCAGGTTTGTGGGCCACAGCTTTCTGCTGTAACCATGTGACGCTGCTGCTGTGCTGTGACAGCAGCTGCCTCACCACAAGAGCAGGGCTGCGTTCCACTTCGACTTTACGAAAATAGGCAGTGGGCTGGACAGTGGCCGTGTGCCCCCAGCGACTGCTGACCCCTGCTCTAGGGGACCCCGGAATTGGGAAAGAGGACATCGTTGAGAGGTCATTCTCATGCACCTTTCTTCTCACCCTGAGGGTTTCTGATCCAGAGCAGGGACAAAGCGGGAGGCTCAGGGAGACACCATCCCTAAGTGTCCGTTAAAAGACATTTACGAAGAATGGGCACGAAGCCCACAAAGGAAAAGAGACTATTTTTGGAGTTCCAATGAAGTTCTTAGTAATATTAAACTAAAATAGTTAAATGCAGTTCTTTCCCTCAACCATGAATGTTCCCTTACGGACAACTCTAGCACACCTTTTCTTAACCAGGAGAATTTGAGGCAGAATTATATTATTCCCACTGGGGATAATTAGAGAGGGAGAGACAGGGGACTGGGAATAGAAAAGGTAAGCAGACCAGAAGATAGAGCCAGAATTCAAAGTTTGAGAGGACAGAAGGAAAAGATGTGTAAATAAATAAACGCTGGCCTTAGAATAGCATACCTGCTTTTAAAGGAGGGGCTGACCTCACGTATTCTGGCACGAGCATAACGAGCAAAGCTAAGATATACATAGCCTTAGATACTGGCACATCTGTGTGTGATATACAATCAACCCCCATGCTGGAATAGGGGTTAGAGAGAGTTATCCATCTGGGCTGATGAGCTAATTTCCTCAAGGGTTTTTCTATCTAAGTATGCGAGTCACTGTCTCGGGGCCAAAGTGGAAGTCATATAATAAGAAAAACACTGAATATTTTGATGGGAAAAGAGTCGCAGAAAAACCACCAACTCAAAACAACCCTAACAAAGTGAAAGGAATTTAAGTATTGCACTGAAAGTCTTAAGAAGGGATAGGGGTGGGATTCTGAGAAGTTTCCAGAAAGACATGATCAACTGAAACCATGTGCTCACTGTTGTAGTCACTTAAGATATAAAACAGGCAGTTTTTCGTAGGCTCACCAGCCAGGCTGTCCCCACCCTTACTTTGCCTTTGTTTTTAATGCCTGTCAGGATCTGGCCAGGGACCCACAGGAGCCTAACCATTCCCAAGGGGAAGGGCCTGACGGAGGCTGAGTCTCTGCCAGTTCAAATATTTCTCTGTATCAGGCTACTTGTAGCTCAGTATCTAGATAAGCAGTAAAATGCCAAGGTTTAGAGAATTTTAGGGAGAAAGATTTAAAATCGAGATACTTGTTTTTACTGAGAACTGGGAAATCACTATTTAACAATTTTAACGATAAACCTTGTCTTTTTCGTATCTCCCTGAATAACACCAGCCTTCATGATTAAACAAACTGATGTTTTTTCAGTAACTTTCAGTCACTTTTGAGGGCAAGCCAAAGAAATATCCAGACAGAGCCTGATCCGTCCACATTATAAAATGTACTTCCTGAATAACGGCTTTAGATTGAATAATTTATTCTTTCGCTCCCTCTTCCTGCCCCCAGCGCAACCTGAAGTTGTGCAACGTGAACCACCGTTGTCTCCACCACGCTCTCCTTGGATTCCAGAACGTTCTTAAGTGGCGTCCAGGTCAGTGTTCCTTACGCCAGCGCTGCAGCTCTTTGGGTAAACAGAGACAAATGTGAGGGTCCACGGTTTTTATCTCTTGCCTTTAGAGATCATTCTGTTAAAATTTCCATTTTATACATTTAGAAATAGAGTCCTAGGCCACAATGTGAAGTTTCTGCTTCACTTTCTTCGGTCTCAATTTGGAGATGTGAAAAATAACCTCAGGTAGCAACTAAAAATGACCCCTTTCGGAGAGGAGAAAGTCCAAGGGAAGGTTTTTTCCCTGTTAAAAAAAAAAAAAAAAAAAAAAAGGACTCGAGGTTTTCTGTGTCTCCACTTACGCAGGGATGGCCAGGAAGGAATGCCTGTCCCCCGATGCGCACCGGGCCACACTGTCCCCGCCAGTGCACACACAGGAATCAGCCACCGTCCCCGGTCGGCTGTTTGACCTGTTCCCCTACTGACCGGCACGGAGTTGGCCAAAAGTCCCAATTACAGTCAAATCCAACATTTCAGAAGTTTGTAAATTCTACTGGCCTTTAGTCTTAATGGTTATCTTATACTTTTACACCAGACGTTTTCATCTGAAAATGTCCGGGCTTTTTTTTTTTTTTTAATTGTGGAAAAATACTGAGTTCTTGTAATAACTTCCTATATGCATTTTAAAACTTTTAACGATAAGGATCTATTTTTATGTATATTTTAAAATGTATTTAAAAATGAGCAAAAGTCATCTTGAACTAAAAAAGACATGAAACCCTGACATTTTCCTCCTGGGAAGATGTGGGCAAGCTGAACTCGTAATAGAAGGGTTTTCTAAATGTTAAAAGTAGATTAGCTACGACAGCTATGTGCCTTAGACACACTGATGAGTGACAGCTGTATTCTGTTTCTCCCTCTCTTTCAGGGGAGAAAACTGTTGGTTTCAATGCTAAAAAGTTCTTAGGTAGGAATTAAAAAGTCACCAAGGAGAAGAGCCCTGATCTTAGAGGAGGCAAACAGATCTCCAGTGACAACCTTAAATGGAGCACAAGAGCAATTATGTAAATTCTAGTCGTGTCTCATAAGGCCATTACAACCAAAACCTCTTAATAATAAAATCCCAGCGCTTCGGGCAAAACATTCACTAGCGCATGTCAGACAATGCCAAACTGTAAAACTATAAAAAGCAATTCTGAGAATCCCTCGGAGGTCCCCAACACGGGATGTGACCTGTAACTGAGGCTAAGAATACAGAAAGGCTTACTCAGATGCCTGAAACTCCAGCTACAACAAAGAACAAAGTATCCGGTGACGAGCATCGAGATGCCACCAACACCGCTCTTCACGGTGCCACTGCACCTGATCCAGCCTGTTTAAAGAGAAACACGTCAGTTATGGGGAGCTGGAACCCGGGGCCGTTATCTGCGAGTTATGCAAGTTATCTCAGCCTGGGCGATGGGACTGTAATTCAAAGAATTTACATACCGCTATATACGTATTTAAACAGATGAGAAGGCTAAAATCTAGAAGATTTTAATTTTAAGAAGTGTAAATTAGGTACTCTCGTATTGGGGAGTTTGGTTAATGTCTTTCGTGGACAGGAGATGACGACCGATTGGTTAATTTAAGGTTGAGCGTCTTCCTGGCTTTGGGATGACTGCGGCGGGCGGGAGAGATGGGGGAGGTGGCCGAGGTGGAGGGAGGTATTACGAAATGAAAGCTGTTCAATCAACGGCAGCTGCTATTTTATTAGCTTTGGTGCCTTCGATTACGTCAGACTCGAGAATGAAAACAGACAAACAGAGGAGCGGGAAGATGCCACATTTGTCTCTTTTTCTCTTTTCTTTAGCCTTGCTATGACAGTCACGGCTAAAGCAAGAGAAAATTCTCCAAATGCTTGGAACCAGCAACAGAACAGCAAATGACTCTGGCCTCACCTTTCTGCACAGCTCCCAAGAGCCTCATTAGAGAGACGCTGGAGGTTGTAAGCCTGGTCGGCGGTCCCAAACTCCTTAGAGCAGGCGCACTTCTTTCTGACAAAGGAACCACGGTTCCAAACAGAAGTTACTGTGACAGTCATCTAAATCGGTCCTCTTTCCCAACGCGCACCCGGGGTTCCCAGGGCTGGGCCTCAGAGAGAGCACATTCTAAAGAGGTGGATTAATGTCTGCTCTGGGCGGCGGCTTAGTCTGAGTGCTAGAAGTCAAAGCCGTCTATTGCAGGTCATAAAAGGCTCTTCAAAGGCCAAGGGAGCCCTGGGGATCAGGACCTGGACATGCTTTTGATCTGATGAACATGCAGCCTTGGTGAACCACGCGCACATGCCGAATGAATTGCTCATATTTTCTGTCTGCTAAACATCTGTGCAAAAGGTATGATTCTCTACGATTATAACATTAAGGACACTACCTGTCACTACAGCTGCAGTTGGCAGGTCCGTTCTGGTACCGCACCAGTACTGCAGACCAGCACACACTTATGTTCAAATGCAGCAGAACCACAAAGCATTTAGCAGGTGGTAAAAGTTGCTGTGGATGTAAAAATACTATCCAATGGTCGTCGTCATATTAAGTAACCGTGAAAAGAACGATGCCGGCTTCCGAAAAGTTACACAGGTGATGATTCGCGTGCAAGGTGGTTAGTCTCTTAAACAAACAAAGCGGGACATAGCCCATGCATCTTGGAAAAAATCTGAAGCAAAAGATGGGGAGAAACAGCTTCATGGACACTGCAATTGTACCGCCTCTCAGCAGTGCCAGGGGCCACGTGGCTCCTTGACTGTTCTGTCTTTAGCCAGTGGACCTATTTATTTCGGTACAGGTTCAAATTTATGTGTATGACATCAGTCCAGGCTGTGAGCTGGGATGTGTAAGCCCAGGCCTCCCCAAAGAAGTCCTGGTAGAGTTTTTTTCAATGTCGTTGCCCGTTGCCCAGGTGCTCTGGGCTCCGATTTCCATCCCCGTGGCCTGGTTGTGGGCCTGGGGCAGCTGATACCCACTGCCATGCTGCCTCATCAACTAGTAGACACTGCCCTTGACCTGTCAGTGTCCGGGTCCTGACATTTCCAACCCAACGCGTGTGGCTAGCCTTCCGTGACGCCGGCTCCGCTCTTTAATACCACTGGAAACCCTCACCTTCCTCTAGGCTGCTACCATTTCCCAACACCCCTTCCGCCTAGCTGGGGTCCCAGTCATACGATCTGACTTAGTTCTTAAGTCTCTGGTTGTTCATTACTCACATGCTTTTTTAAAAATCTAAAACACCCCCTTTCATGGGCTCCGTTGGCTAATCGGGGACCTAACCCTGGCTCGTCATATTCCCTTGGGTTCTGATCCTGACTATTCTGAGCCTGTTCCCCACGTGTCCATCTCACACGATACCCGATTGATGGAAACGCTATTTAAAGATCAGAAAAGAGCCTTTATTTAGCTGTTTCTTCGCCTTTAAATACCCATGACCCTATACTGTTTTCTCCCTTCACCTTCTGGCATCCCCATCAGCCAAGTTCTGCTTTTTGTAGTGATAGGAACTATGTTTTTTTCACGCCCCATGCTTTGAGAGATTCCCCCGCTGGGTCTCAGACACCTGCTCCAGTGCCATCTCCTTCGTCAGCAGTTCTCTAATCCAGCTGCTCTTCAGAAGCATGGAGGACATGTTTGAACATGTGATTCTTAGACCTTATTTCAGAATCAGTCTCTGGGGATGATGCCTACGAATCTTGAATCTAAAAAACACCCATGTGGGATTGTCGCTTGTCCAGACTTAGCGACCGAGGACCTAGATCTCTTTGAGCCCCGAAAGACAAGACACCCTGAATTCTGCGAGGGCTCAGCCAAGTGCTCCCAGCTGAAGGCTCTCAAGGCCACAGTGACTCTGAAAGCTTTGAACAGTGGAAAGCAGTTTCTACTGCTGAGGGCTCTGACTCTTGTTGAACCTCCTGAGATTTAACTCTTGAACTTCTACACTCCATTTTCTCCAAGGCCAGGAAAATTACTAATTTCGGTAATTAGTCAATGAAATTCCTTCTCCCCGAACCTCAAAAGATGGCCTCTGATGCTGCTGAATGTCGTACGCCAAATTCTTCCTAATTTATGAAAACTCATGGCACCTTCAGAACTAACAGTCTACCCTGGGCTTTCCTGGCCCGAGCCACCAAAATAGATCCGTTTTTCATCGGCCACGAGAGCTTTTGGTTCCACCTCGTTTCATCCAAATGACAAGAGAGTCTTTTATTCCTCTCAAGGCCCTGGCTACCTTCTCATCTGGTGGAATCATTTCCTTAAGTTTACTCAGGTACCTGTGTCTGAGGACTAGCTGCTGTTACAGCTTTCCCGCTGCAGAAAAGCATATCTGACATCATCTTGAAGCCCACCATCCAACAGGAGAAATGATACCCGGAAGAGCTTGGCAAAGACCATCAGGCAATGTTAGATGCCTACCATCAACTCAACTTATCCTCATCTATAAAAGGGGATAAGACTAGTCTTCCAGGGTTGGTATAAGATTACGAGATGATCTATGTAAACATGTAGGCATCATAGCTGATATATATCTAACTTAGTAATTGTTAGCTCACTGGCTCTGCCTGTAAGTATCAAAGAAATGGATTGGCTTCCTGGGATAAAGGCCAAATAGTCTAGCAAAGGTCTTGCCTGAGCAGAGACTATATAGCCCACGTTCTCCCGCAAAGATTCCAGGAAAGTTCAATTTTAATTTGCAGTCACTGTTGGTAGCCATGGCCTGGTGAAATGACGAAGCTTTCTGAGGAGCCACACGGCCTTTTAGTTCCTGTAGATTTAGACGGCCTGCTGATCTCCTTGGCTAACTGAGGAATCAGGTCTTGACCTGAGATCCTATGGTCTCTTCTAATACCTTCTGTTCATTCAGTGGCACCAAAGTCCGCCACTTTAATTGTGAGGCTAACTTCTATAGTTTTTCAGTTTATAACAGAACTAGAGGCTCTGTGATGGCTACACGTTGTCTGATAGAAATTCAAACTAATCATATAGACTGTAAAAGAACAAAAAGTAGTTTCTAACCAGTATCCTGGAGGAACTCAACGTTAAAGGAAGATTGTACTTTCCCCCCATATTCGGTCTCAGAAAACTAGTGATTTGATGACCTAAATTACTGTATTTCTCATTATTATTACTATATTCTTAGGACCCGTTAAAATGTATCAACTAATTTATAGCATGATACCTACCACTAACTGTCCCAAACAGTAGCCTAGGGCAGGGTTTAAAGACCATGGTGTACAAGTCAGATGGACTTGCATTTAAAGCCCGACAGTCACTTAGTGTACGAACATGGGCAAGTCACTTAAGATGTCCGAGGCTCAGATTCCTCACCTATGAGAGAGGGCGGGTCAGTGACATCACTTCAGAGTTATTATGAGTTCACTGAGATAAATGAGATAGCAATGTAATGCACCTAGCAACGGTCATCACTTGACAAGTATCAGTCCCTTTTCTAAAATGAAAAGTGGATGTATCAAGGATATTCCTTAGCATTATAGAAGATAGTAGGACAATAAAGAAGCCCTACTTGAGAGATTTGCAATGGGCTGTGTGTTTACGCAACTGAAAATCACAGTGATATAAAAGACATCTGTGTTTCCAGTTATGGCGTATTTCCTCAGCAATGTTTAGTGGAAAGGATTACTTGGCCTCAGGAGACTTGGTTCTACTTGCAACTTTGTCACGTACTGGAGGCATGACCTTGGAAAAATCCCTTGTCCTCCCTCTGTCTGTTTCATCACCTACAAAACAGAAAAATCGCTCTGCCCACCTCTCAGAGCGGGGAGGCCAAAAGAAGAAAAGATGGAAGCACTCTGAAAACCACAGAGCAACACAAATGTTCATGTTCATTCTGTTTAGTGGAGAGGGCTTGAGACTACAACTTTGTAGCGGGCCCACGTTAGACCTGTTGGTAGAAAAACTGGTAACCGCTGACACAGTTGGAGAAAACGTAGCTTTAGCTGGCAATGCCCTCTATTTAATACACTCCCATTGTGAAATCTTTAGAAAGGGATAATTAAAATACAAGAGAAAACGCTTTTGGGACCAAACTGGAGTTTAGTAAATATGTGATCATTTATAAAATAATTTTTCCCCAGAGGGAAAAATATATCTTTAGTTAGAGATGATACAAGTTTTTCAGGTGTGAATCCATTCCGAGTTGCACTAGGTCTCCTGTCAAAATTAAGCTAAAAACACCAATAACACTACACACACAAAAGGAGATGGATGCTACACTAAACTAACGAGGCCCCTAGAAAACCTAAAGGGAAAAAAATCCAAAGCTTCCTGGTGACAAAAACGAAGAAACTGTCGTAGCTAGAGTAGTCGTCCAATAACTAAAGGTGAGAGTCAGCAAGAAAAGACGAGGCTACCTGACTACTGAGACCTTCTTGGCTCGTACCTGGGGCTTTAGTCCTACCCCCTAGTTTAGCTATTCTAGGCAAAAGCAAGGAACATCTAGGAAGCTTTTGAAGAGACCGATTCACAATTCAGATCGGTCTCGATGTCCAGCGCCCCTCTCCCCTCATCCCTTACCTAATCTCTTATGTTCTGAGGCTCAGTGTCTGGTTCCTTCTTGGGTCCTATTCTTCGTGGATTAATTTTTCTACTGCACGGACTTCTCTTTTTTGGGGGTCACATCCTCTCTATTCCTGCTCATCTCCTGAACTTCCATTTCCAATTATCTGCCTTAACTGCTACACCTGCCTAGGCAGTTTTAATCTTACCCTGCTCCCAGATCCAAAAATACTGTCTGCTTATACTTTGCTACTCTGAATTCCCGGATGTTGCATCTGACCATAGACCTGGAACCTATTTTGTGTATAACTTGGTCCTGATTAAAATCTGAACACAGTGCTTGTTCTATTTGGGTGGACCCTGAAGTCTTTATGCTTTCCTTGAGTCTGTTCAGCTTGAACACCCAATTCCTACTGGCCATGCCTCTTTCCAATGTAGAAATTCAACTTATCAATATCACCAGCCAATCTGTCTAGTCCAACCTTCGACTACTGGTGAAGGGGAAGAGAGTGATCAAACCACTGGAGCAAGAAATAATGTTTTCAGAACAATTTTAAGTCCAGTGCACTTGAAGGCTCAGATAAAAAGCCAAATGAGTCAACATGTTAGTATTCTGACCCTTATGAATTCAAAAGGCACAGAGTGGTTTGTATGGGCTGGACGGCCCTTGAAAATGAGTGCATTTTACCTTGTGAGAGTCTTTCCCCATGGGGACTGATGAGCTGGGGCTTCTGGGCCACTGGATTCCAATACTGAGGTTTCCCTGGAAACACCCCTAGTCCGAGATAAGCAGGATAAAGCTCTGGGACCCACTCCAGGCCCAGGGAGCTGGGAAGGGTCTTCCTGTCGGCAACATCCATCTGACTGGTGAAGGGGCTTTTAGAAGTATGATGCTGGGCTGAATGTAAAGGCTGCTGGCACGCAGAGAGCACAGCTCGGGGCCAACGGCCAGATTCGGGCTCCAGAGAAGCCTGTTCCTCACTCTCCATCAATGCCCTCACGTTGGGGACTTGATTATGATTGTGGGCTTCTGCTTTTTCTTCTTGAAGAAATTTTATAGCCAGAGAGGCAAGACTTTGATTACGTGACTGTGCTACAGAAAGAAACTCACTGCGAACTGTCTCCCTCGGCGAGAACAAATTTAAATTGAGACCTTCATCTTGGGATTTCTTCTCTGTGGCTGGAACATCAGCACTGAAGTTCTTTGTAGAGTCACTTCTCATGGAAGAGCATTCCTGAATTCTTGTCACAGATGCACTTTTTCCTGCATGGCGTTTGCTCCCGTACGTCTCTACTCCAAGGTTAAGCCCTTCTCCTTGGTTCTCCTTGACTGGGATTTTACCTAATGCACTAACTTTAAAACCTAAAATCTGTGATTCCCTGTCCTTTTCCTGATTCTCAGAGTCTCTAACATCAGCAGAGATTTCTAAGAGGCGATCTTTGCCTTTGGAATCTGTCTCATCGCTTGAACATGATGGTCTTACTGTTTTATCCCCATAAATGAGATTTATGGGAGAACTATGATAATCACCAATAGGCGCATCTAGTAATTTTACTAGAAGCTTCTGTCTCGAGGGATCGATTTTGTCCAATTTTAAATTAGCAGAAGTGGTTTGTATATCATTAGATAAGGCTGGAGGATACTTTCTATCTTGATTTGACAAAGGTTCCATTGGGCTGAGAGGTAAAGATGCTTTGGTTTCTGAAGGATTACTTCTACTTTCCCTTGATTTAGGCAAATCTGTGGCAAGTCCTTTTTTAGGAGCAGTGTTCTCTGATGCATAAAACTGAGCCTTAGTGTCTCCCTGGGGAATAATCTCTGGTTCAGGATTTTCTAACATTTTGTGGGAGAATTGAATGTGATTCTTGATGTCTTTGTTTGCCTTTGGATTACTTACTCTTTCCAAACCAACAGCTGGTAGTGGAAAGGACTCAGTTGTCTCTCCTGCTTTGCCCCCTTTCGACTTCGTATTTCTTTTCTGATTCTTTGTCCCCAGCTCTCTCTCATTAGCTTTAACCAAGTCTTTGATTGAACTTTTCATTTTCTTAGCATGTGGGAGCACAGCCTGCTTGGAGTGACAAACATTTTGATCAGTAGGTATAGTTGGTCCTATCATCTTACAATGTGGCAAGTGGGATTTTAACCGTTTAAATGGTTTCTTACAATAAGGACATACTTCCATTCTGGATGAAATATCACTCTCTCATTCCTGAAAAAGGTAAATGTGAGATTATGAGGAACGCATCGTTTGTACAGTAAATACCAATATTGTATTTGTCATACCTTTTAAAATTCAGTTGGAAGAATCCAGGTTAAAGATAATTTCTAAAAGTTTGTTGGATTCATTCTTTTTCTTACAGAGGTAGAAAACAGAAGACAGTTGGATTTTAAGATAAATATCCTTGGCTCCACTTACACTGGGGACTTTACATTAGCAAGTCTTCTAGGAATCAATTGTTACAAAGACTATCAAAGAGGCTTTTCAAAATTCCTGACTAGGAGGTGAGCAAGACCAAAAGACTTGCATCTAATAAATTAATGGTCAGTGGAAGAAAAGGTATCCAAATGCCAGAATCAAAGGTTTGCTATTTAAGGTTGTAGCAAGCCAACTGGCTATCACACAAGTATAAAGAAATTGTGAAAAACGCTAAACACATCATTCAGGGAAAAAATAGTGAAGAATGAAAATTCAGGCCAGGATTTGAAGGTGGTTGATTATAGTAGTGGTTTCCAAAGTGGTACATATGGAAGATTTACTGGGTGCAAGAAGAAACAGAACTTCCATTATCTACCCGTGAGAAATGAAGCTCTACTAACACCTAACATGTTAGTAATGGGCATATATATATGTGTGTATATATGTATATGTACTGATAGTTTATAGTACAATGAATTATTGGTGGATTTGTTTGACACTTTGTGAGATTCATACTATGTAAAAACATTAACAAATATACCATGTATCATTTAAACTTCTTTATTATTTCCAGTTAGGAAAAGGAAATATTTCATTACAAAGCTCAATTGAAAATTATTTTTTTTACATTTCTTCTTTCTATAAAGTTCCTTGAACCACTAAATAGGTCAAAAGTGAGGCTCTGAAACCATTTACAAAGTCAATAGATATAATCCTGGCCAACCATTTATCAAAGCACCCAACCCACCTTATCCTACCTGAAGTCAGGCAAAACAAAATTGTTTTCTGTCAAGCGACTCTAATTATTCTTACTTTGGAGGTATCTCTTTGACAATTTAATGCAAGTTACGGACCGATTATTTACAAAAACACATACAACTGGAGCCAGTCCCTGAGCCTTAGGCTAAAAACTTTCTGAGACCTCTGTTAGACTTGTCTGCCTCTACAGTACTCCACCCTCACACTTAATCTTACTGGAAAGCTCTTTGTACCTCACGTGGTAACGTCTTATCTTGAGTGCCTGCTTTCTTACCCGGGCTTCTCTGCAAGGATGCTAATTTTGCGGTCGTCTCTCCTGGATCTCCATGCTTCACGATCGCCGTTCCCGAGTTTGGCAGAATGAAACTAGATTTTAACGTCAGCCTGTGCAAGACACAGTCAGAGAAGTAACTCGATAGTACTAAACCAAATAACTGGGTTATCAGCAGGGCAGTTCCCTTTTGGTGTTCCGGAAAGCGGAGAGTTAAGACTTCACCAGCGTCTTGGGCACAGGGCCCATCTCAAAACTTACGCTAATCTTGGCCCTCACCTCCGGCGCTCTCCAGCGGACTTTTCCGCCCCTGGCCGGGTCACCTCGCCTGCCCTCCTCCCCTCTCCCTTACTTTTCAGCAAGCTGTCTAGCTGCTGCCAGCGGCGTGGGCGGGGACCGCCGGGCAGCTCCTGGGTCCGAAGCCTGCTAACCCGCAGCCCCTGCTCCAGGAGTCGGAGGCGTTGGGACGCCTGACGGGACTCGTTCTGTGGCTGCGGGAAGCCCCCCATTTGGCCTGCCACCGATCGACACCTCTCCAGGCTCAGGACAGTCACCCCAGACCTAAGGCGGGGGCCATAGGAAAAGTCTTGTGAGTCGAGACCCCCCCACAACAACTTCCTCACCTTGCAAAATACAAGTACAGGAAGCCCCCGAGGCAAGCCCCCCAGAGCAGCTCATTAGCAGCTTCCTAACTCCCGATCCCAGGACCCGCGGTGGGCCGTCTACATGATTGCCTGATGCCTCTCATATATTTTTAGAAAATTTGTTACCTCACAGGCACTTATGTCATATACTTATGTCGTATTATTATGACGTAATTTAATTTCATTTAAACCTAGCTGGACGCTTACACTGTCTCCGCTAGGCTGCGAACAGGCGAAAGCCCCGGCCATCTCTAATGTGGTCCTCCTCTCCCTGGAGCTCCCAGTAGCTCCTCCCCCTCCGAGCCCGCCCCTTCCCGTGGGCGGGGTTACCGGTCGGCGCGGTCGGAGGAACGCCACTGCGCAGCCGCGAGAGGGCGGTACCACGGCGGCTGCGACATGGGGGGGCGCGGAGCAGACGCCGGAAGTAGCAGTGGTACGGGTCCCACCGAGGGGTACTCACCGCCGGCAGCGTCCACCCGAGCCGCGGTGAGAGCCAAGGCCCGAGGGGGTGGGCGTGGCGGCCACCGAAACACAACACCCACTGTTTTCTCTCCTCGCGGAGCGGCGCCGCGTCGCTCCCCTTCACCGGCTGCCATGAGCGAGCGCCTCCGGCCCAGGTGAGTCCGTAGGGACCCTACTTCCTTTCTAGCCCCTCGTCTGTCTTGAGAGATGGAGTCGAAGGGGCGCGCGAAGCGGGGTCCAGCAAGCGTGGGCCCTGCGGGTCTTTATTTGGGCCCGGGGGAGGAGGGGAGAGGGAGGTGCGACTGTTCGGGTACCTGCTCCCGGAGCGTCCTGGAGGAGCGACTCCACCACGGTCCAGGTCTCCCCACCCCATCTTCCCCCCCTCGTCTTTCTCTATTTGGATTGAAGTCTGGTCGGTCCCGGAAGAGAGACAGTGGCCCTAAAGCGTCCTAGCCCTAAATTTAGGAGGGCGGGGGGATGGGAGGAACGTCTGATCTTCGAGTGGGAGCCCTTAGGCCGTCTGTGAGGGGACCGGGCGGGGAGCTGCCGGCTCCCCAAGGTCAGAAAGAAGGATCGGGCTTAACCCTGCAGCCGGGATGGAATAGGTTAGACCGAAGAGTTTGTGCCCTGGACGGTTGTGAACACGGAAGGGCGGATGGCTAAAGTGACTTGCTGAGTCTCTCTCTGCCTGTAGCCTTTAGAACGGGCAGGATTCTAAACTGTTTGGGTACGGAGCCGTTTGACTCCGAAGGCCGGAGGTAGGATTATATCGCGACGCTCTAGTTTTCCACAGAGCCTGGCTTCAGACCTGGGTTCGGGGTTTTATGCTTGCTTGAGGTGATGGACTGAGTAGAGTCCAGGCCAAGCTGTGATTTCCGTCTTTCCTTCTTACTGTGAGAAGGAGAAAGTTGAAAATTGGGTACCCAGAATCGGGAGGATCAGCTTTATTTTAAATTAGAAAAATTCCTCATCGTGGAGTTTGAAGTGAAAACTAAAGATCAGCAAGTTCGACTTTCATTTTTCTGAAGAGGAAAAATTTAGAGAGCTCAACTGATTGCATTTTTCCAGGTTCACTGTGCTTTATTTCATAATAGTCTCAGTGACGTTTAAGTGAATAAAATAGGATTGCCTCGGCAGATTATCTGTATTTTCTTGTTGGTCCATGTTTTCATTGCTTCTGAATGTAATTGACAGTTTTTCCACGAGGACACTGCTCTGGAGGATAGTTAATTCTTGGAATTAAGATTGTGGACAAACTTTCTGATGTCATTTGGTCCAGTAGTGAAAATCTAGAGTTCCTCTAACTTCAAGCATAGGATTATTGATTTGGGTCATGTGTGAGTGAGGTGTAAAGCTTTCTTGTATAGAAAATAAGAGTAGACTAAATTGGAAATTAGTGGCCCAGTTACCGACATGTTGTCAGAATTAGGGACAAGATCCTTAGGGACAGTAAGCCATATCTGACTGCCATTTTTTTCCTTCTCAAACCCAGTCATACTTCTGACAGTTTCTTGGGATGTCTCACATATCTGAAAAAGTCAAAATATTTACTACAAAAAGATTCTTTTTATCCAGCACTGTACACAAATATAAGTACCTGGAATGTGTTTATACTGGTAACAGATTCCTTTTTTCTAGTACACAAATAATGTCAACATGTTTAGACTGATAACTTCATTAATATTAAAAGACATAATTTGATTTGGACAGGGGTTTCTTACTTTTCTCTTCACTACATGTTTCGGGGTGTATGATGGACCAGCTCTGCCACCCAGCTATTTTAGTAGCTCCAAGTCAGTTCACTTCTCTGGTTCTGTTTCCTCAATTTTAAGATGCAGGATTGGGTCCTAGATGGTGGTTTTTTGAATCGTTTCACAGTGTACTGGGATGGCCGTCGAGGAGCCGGTGTGTGGCAAGGAAGCCCTAATTTAACCGAAACATCTTTTATCTCATATATATTAAGGGATTATATTTTTTTTCCGGCGGGAAGAAAGAGTTTTTTTACTTAAAATTTTTTTTTGAAAACCACTAGTCTCTATTCTTTAGGATTTCTTCTATGCTCAGTTCTAGGAGATGACAGGAAGATTGGAGAGAAACGAAATGATAAAAAGTGATGTAATGGGCCATCCTTAGAAGTAACAGATGCTTAAACAATAATCTGTAACTAGATGGCTAGGGAGATTACAATCAATTATAGGTGGCTGCTAAAATTATAACCTGGTCTCTGGCATTAATGTTGCAAACTGTAATCTCACTGATTTTGCAGATAGGGTTGAAATGAACATGAAGCTGTAATCTTGCCAATTATTTATGATGTTGTTGAAAGAAGGATGTTTCAAGGACAGAATCTGGAAAGAGCCTAGAAAAAGAACTGAAGAACAGTTAGGGCTCATTCTTAATGCAATTCCTTCCAAGAGAGAATTCTGGTACTTTGAGAAATCAGCTGATTATGGAGCTGGGCTATTTCATGTGACTTTCCCAGAATTTAGTTGAAATTTGCAAAACCAGTTCATCCTCTTTGTTCTTACATTCTTTTTGCCTTGTAACCGCCTTGATATTCATATCTTGTCACCGGAAAGATATGTCCCCAATTATAAATGAGGAAATTGGAAAGTTTTGGTCAAGCTCATAAGTTTGGTTAGAGTGACTCAGCAGCCCAAAGCACAATCAGCTGTTGTCACACTGATAAAAGAAGAGTTTGGAGACTGGCGTGCTGCCCTTTATGAGTTCCTTTTTGGGTGTCAACTAGCTTTCCACTAGTCATTGCTCTGTCACTTCATCGCGTTTCCGTGAACATTCTCTGGTCTCATGAGGACGAAAGTAGTAGTTTCTTGGTTCAAATCTATGGTAATAGTACATCCATTTAATGATTATTGAAACCTGGTATTCATCTAGTTTTTAGCCTCTGCATACTTCAAAGTAATGTGTAGATATGATCTAATCTCTTGGGAGGAAAGTAGGAAGCAGAAGTAAAGATCTTATTTTACAAACACCTGAGCCTTAGAATGAAGTAAATGATGTGGCCCTTGCTGGTTGGTTGGTTGGTTAACGCTTTATCGGAAACACGCCCACCTTTCATCATTACATGCCTAAACTGGATCCAAACTCATTAATAAAGTTAGGTGTATTCAGAACGTTGCAGAGTACAGGGAATCGAGCTCAGGGTGATAGTTTCTTCGGTGTCCAGCCCTCAACTCCAAACGGCAGGATGAAGGGCCACAGTGAGCCATCCTACTCACATAGAAGGTACATAACTGGATAGAAGTTATGCTCAAATTCAGTGCTTTCCAAAAAGCTGTTTTTCTCTCGAGCTATAGAAATTTGAACCTTTAAGAGTTTTCATTATAGTAGATTATGCTGCTTTGTATAAATTAGACTCTAGTCATGCCGTCCAGTAGCATTTTCTGCAGCGATGAGAAACGCCTGTATCTGTGCTGTTCACTACAATCGCTGCCCGTGGCCATTGAGCACTGGAAATGTGGCCAGTGTTACTAAGGCACTTTTAATTTTAGTTAATTTTAGTTAATTTTAATTTACATAACCACATGTGGTAGTGGCTGCTGTGTTGGACAGCACAGTTTCAGGAAATTTGACTTATATTTATACCTCCTATTTCTGTTCTCTAATTGGGGTTTAGAAGTTCTGACAGCACGTGACATTTGCATTAAAAACTCAAATTTTGTCTCTTGCACATCTGAAAACACTTTACTAAGGGAGAAGTGTGATTTTTCTTTAAATCTATATGTTGAGTAGCTCGTGCTATAGTCTCAAAGTAACAATCTGGTGAAGTAATATATATCATAACACTGGCGGTGTGGCTAGAGAATCAAGTTTATGTGTCCAAGAGCAGCTTTTCCAGTGATTGTTCAGAAAAGTAATACTTTAAAGGGCATAGAGCTTTTGTTTAAGTGATAGTTGGGGGAAAATCAGGGATGAAGGAAAACTCCGAACTTCTATGGATTCTTGTGTAGCACCATTTTTAAAGAATTTTAAGGATAAAATAGGTGAAGGCAGCCACTCCACGTCTTTGGTGCTGTTACACGGGAGGGAGTAAAATGAGGTGACTTGGAATTGTAACGTCGGGAAATGGAGAAGAGACGATAACCTTAATGAGGTGGAGTTTGAAAGCTCAGTCGTTAACATCTTCCTGCTCTTATTCTCAGTAGGCGTAAGTTGTCACGCTTCTTTTTAGAAATTAGTCGCACAAATTGAAGCTTGCCCTTACCGCTCCTATTTTATGTTTTTGCTCTTTGTGCCCAATGATGATGTACTTCCAGTTTTCACATATTGAGACATCATATGATGAATTCCATTTTCTCAGGAGAGAGGGCAAATTTATGTGTTGTCATGGTTTACAATTTTAAGTGTCTGAAAGATCAATTGTTGGATTTTTTTTTTTTTTCTCCTGGTGATTTAATTTCAGAAAAAGGAGAAGGAATGGCAGTGAAGAAGACCACCATCTTCCCCCGCAGACCAAAAGGAGCAGTAGAAACGCTGTCTTTCACGACTCCTGGGACACAGAGGTACGAAGTGTGGTCAGAATCTCTGTTCTTTTCATTGCTTGAGCTAACTCAGTCTCTTCCGTGTAATTACAGTTATCCTTTGACTAAATAAAAGAAAGTGATCTTGGTTGTAATGGTTGCACCTTTTTTTGAGTCATGGCCCCTTTGAGGAAGCTCTGCACCTTCTCCCCAGCAGAACAGTATATATCGGCACATATTCATACACTCACCCCATTTGTATTTGTTAGAGGTTTTCTGAACCTTTGAGAGCCCTTCTTTGAATCTCCTATTTGATATTTCAGAAACTAATTTATTTTCTAATAGTTTATAAACCATTCTTGACTCTAAGGCCATCATATTTTGTTGCTTCAACTCATCTGTCTTTAAGAGAAACTATAAGCATTCAGAATACATAATGTATGTGTATGAAAAATTCTGTTTTTAAGTGTTTTTACTTTTTTGTTATGTTCTAAAAAAGACCGCCGCAGGAGGCAGAGTAGAGGGGAGAGAGCGGGGAGAGGGTCAGAGGGTCCTAGAGTTTTGACTTCCTGAAAGAGTAATCGAAAGGCTGATCCACAGCGCAGAGAGAGCGCACATTAGTGAGATTGTGCACCTAGAGACTCTGCCGGTTACCAGTTACCACGCTGACAGAAAAAGCCCTCGTTGGCAAGGATTCCTACCTAAGCTCCAGCCTCATAACTTCAAGCAGAATTCTGTATATCACAATTCTCGCACAACCAGATAATTTGTAATTTAATTAGTCCTTGATACTAGGACTTGACCTACATCAGTCAGGAACATCTAATGACAGGTGCCGCTAGATCCTCCTGTGTGGAGACTTGAGTGTCTGTTGCTTTTATCCCTCTTTTTAAAATCTTCCTATCGCACTTTTTCTTTCTTTTTAAAAAATGATTAACAGAAAAGTTATTGAGCTTTGTTTAATGTAATTGGAGACTCTCACGATGAAAGAAAACCAGAGATTAGCGGCTCCCAATAACATCTGATGATAAAACTGTAACAGTGATCAAGTTTCTGTTATCTTTTCGAATTATAGGACTATTCCTTAAAAGAGTGTGCCGTGATTACTTTCATGGTGTCAGCATGAGTATTTCTTTACTTGTATCTGTATTTAATTTCTGCTATATGATGTTCATATTCAAAGTTATAGTAGGTCTAACTCTATGTTGTATTGGTCTTTTTTTTCAATATCTATAGTTGTGATGCCTGAGAACAGGAATGTAAATTGTCATGTTTAAAAAAATTAAACATTTCCAATCTCTTATTTTAAGTAAAACTCCGTAGTATTAGTTTTTGCTGTGTTTTCATCACTGTTTGTAGAAAAGGACCTTCATCCCCTTTAAAACCTTATATTGGGATCGCAGAAGAAAACCACAGTTGTTATTCAACCTGTTGGTTCACGTGTCTTGTTCTTACTTGTCTAAAGAAATTGAGCGGTTAAACCAGTCTAATCGTTAGTCAGGGGATAGACTAGACTGTCTCTGTTATAATTTACAGTGTATATGAGTACTTTTATCTGTCGTGGTCATCTGAACTCACTGGCACTTGTGACCCTCTGTGTCAGTTTTGCTGACTGAGCCTTTACCCGCGATCTGGTGGCCTCGGGGCTGTGCTTCCTCAGTGGTAGTGGTAACAAGTAATTGGGCACAGGGAGCCCAGGGAGAGCTGGAGAAGCAGAGGCCGGGGAAAGTCTTTAACATGGAAACTGAATCGTCACCATTAGAATAGATGATTATGCTTAGAGCACAAAAATACCAAGGTTAGGGGCATTTGGCTGCTTTTTGACAATTGTGTATAAAAGGAAAAATAATAAAATGATTCATTATAGATGGATTATTTCTTTATATAATTAACTTATTAATGAAAGTGTTCTTTTAATTCTAAGGTAGGGCTGAGGTAAGTTCCCTTAAGACTAACTCAGTTAAGAGAAAATTTAAGAGAAAACCTTTGTCTTTCCTGAAATACTTAAATAATTTGAGAAGAGCTTTCATTTGAAAGGAGTTTATTTTAATTCTAAGAGAGATTTAAAATTACTTCCCAAAAGTTATCTTTTTCTCTTAAATGTATTATTGGCAAATACTGGGAAATAAGATGAAAGGTGTTTGTGTTAAACTATTAAACTATGCCACGGGTAAATCATAATTAGTAGAAAAATGGAGACAGCAGATGCCTCATTTTTCCTAGATGCCCTGAAGCTAAAGAATGTGAACTGACCTGCCACATTAGTTAACATGGAAACTTTCACTTGTGCATTTTCTTCCTGTCTTTTTAGTAGGTATTATTATTTCTACTTTTCAGATGAAAAAATTTGGGCACAGAAAAATAAAGTCACTTGCCTAAAGATAGACAGCTAGTGGGAGGCAGGGGGGGCGAACCCCAGATCTTGCCGGTGGAGCAGCTGGCTCCTAACCGGGGTGCTGCCGGCTCACGGATCGTGGGAGGGAAGTTCTTGCAGACTTCGCTCAGTATGCCCAGGGGCAGCCAGGTCCTGACTGCTCTCAGTCACAGGACAGAGAAGGACAGCTGGAAATGTTATGATAAGGTATTAGCTAGGAAGCTGTTTTCTATTTCTAGCTAGGAAAAGTGAAGAAATTGGGGTTTAGTGTTATTTTAGAAAATCTCATTGGTGTTTGAATTGAAGACCTTGAATTTGAGCTCCAGTGACTTAGATTTAATGACTTGTGAGCCTTAGGATGCTATTTTTGAAATTGAGCTATAATTTGCTGGCATAGGACTAAAAAGTCTTTTTGTAAAGCCATTCTTTGTAGATCTTGTTGGTTAATGTGTATGTCAGGCTTGTCTTTCTCTTCAATGAGCAAGAAGCGAAGTGATTTCTTTATCGCTTTGTATCTTCCTGTTGGGTCCTATACCAGGGTAGCAGCATTCCTTGATCTTGGACAATTATTTGGGTGGGTAGAAACTGCTAGATCTACCTTACTTTCAAATTTGTTCTGTTAGTTTGAATTGTATCTTAACTTGTAGGCTAATCCTCTTTGCTTTCAGTTTTAATGTCTTCATCTACAAAATACACTAGACGTTTCTGTGTAGATCTGACTTTGGTGTGTAGGTTATGCCTTATAAAAAATGCTGTTGCCTGAATAAATAAAAGCAGTACCTTTTTACAAGACCTCAAATTAAAAAATATCTTTAACTTACCAAGGCCATTTTGATTTTTCAGAGCACTGCGAAGTAGCAAGTAGAGCGAGAAAATGCGAGATAAAACAGAAGTGGCTTCCTTGGAACAGCCTCTGCCTTTTCTCGTCTCTGCTGGAAGGGGAACATTTTTGATGTCATAATCCTAAAATCCTAAGGGTATTCTTACCAGAGTGTAGAGGCCTGACCAACTAAAAAGTAACAGAACCAGGGGAATCCATGTATCATTAAAAGTAGGATTCTGTAAATCCATTTGTTTTAAGAATGAACCGACAATGGGACCATTTAGGGTAATTTTTCAAAAGAGTATTTGAGGCTTTTTGTTTTCGTCCATTCTCATCTTGAATCTGTCACAGGGTAGTGGGCACATCCTCAGAGACAGAACTTTTGGCAGACTCTGTCTCGGGTAAAACTATCAGGGTTGTGCACTTAAAACGTATAGCAAGTTAACGTGTAAAAAGGTCCATTCAAAATGGAGGAGCAGTCCTTTCAAAAGTTAGTCTGATTTGTAGTGTACATCTTAAGAAACTCTGCTCACAGCTCAAGTCCTTGAAATGTTTGTAATACAGCACAACTCCCAGCATCAAAAGCTGCCGCAAGCAGTTTCACATTGAAACTAAATGCTAACTAAGTGTGTTAGGTAATTAGGGTACGTACATTCACGTGGTTTTTGTAGGTGCGTATTATTTTTGGGGCCGTTGAAATTTAAACAAAATGAAGTGATAGGTAATAGAATATTTTAGTTAGAAAGGAACTCAAAACACATCGTGTGGTCCAACTTCATCGTGTAAGGACTGACACAGAAAATTGACCCACCTGCATTTTCTTTCCTTGCTCTTTAGAAAGTCGTTTACATAACCCACTGAATTCATTTGGAGTCTTCTTGTCTCACCGGTGAGCAGACCCAGAGCTCTCAATATTGGGCACTTGGGAAGCACAGGATTCTACCGTAGATGTGCTGGTCGCCGCGGTAGGATCATCTCTTGCACTAAATCCAGATTGTGCAGTGGCCTCGGAATGAACTTCGTTCTGGCTCCCGGGGTGTAGTGTATATAGTGAGCAAGATTTCCTTTTTCTTTTGAGGCACATGCACATTAAAAGCACCCATGAACGGGGAGATGGATGTGAGGGGAAGCTGGGGCTTGATAGAAAATGAATACACTGTTGATCAGCTTTTCTAATTAGGAAGAGAAAGCATACAGTTCAGGCAATAAATATACACATATTTAGTTGTATTTTTATGAAGCAGTGACTCTGTTTAACATTCTTGTCTGGGGGGCTTTCTAAGGGGTATCAGCAGGAGTAGTCTTTAGAGTTAGTTGATGCTGTTCCTCCGTGGGTATCAATGGGTTATCTCTACCTTGACTTCATGCCCTGGGTCTGGCTGAGGGACCAAGAGTTCTTTACCTTTGGTATAGTTTGCGCCCTGTGCTCCAAGATGATGAACTTCCTTAGCTTCCCTGTTCTCTGCTTCACGATGGATTGATACTCTTCCTTTCAGCCAAAGAGTGGGACGCCTCCCTGTAGCTGCTCTGCATTCTGTCCAGGGTCCTGAAAGCTGCTGCTCCTGTTTTTTGCCCTTCTCTTCATCTCCAGAGGCTTCTCATCCACTGCTTCTTTCATTGGCCTCCTCGTGTGCCCTTTTCCCTCCCAGCTAATGTCTCTGCCTTGTTTCCCCTTGGCTCACTGTGAGCCTTCTCTTTCTCCCAGTACCGCCAGCCTCCTCAGCTCTCTGCAGCCACCGCTGGTCCTTCCCCATCTGCCTTCCCCCCATTCTTCTCTGGGTCCTGGCTTCTTCCTTGATGGCACAGAACATTCTCAGGGCTCACTGACTCTCAGCAGACATGTACTGAGCACCGAGCACGGCTGACCCTCAAACAACACGGGTTTCAACTGTGCGGGTCCATTTATATGTGGATTTTTTTTCAGTAAATACGTACAGTACTGTAAATGTATTTTCCCTTATGATTTTCTTAACTTTTCTCTAGCTTTATTATAAGAATATAGTGCATAGTACATGTAAAATACAAAACACGTGTTAATTGGCCGTTCATGTTCTCCGTAAGGTCAGTGGTGCGCTTTCAGTAATTACATTTTTGAGGGGTCAGAAGTCATACGTGGATTTTTCTCTTGCGAGAGGGATCGGCGCCCTAACCCCCACGATGTTCAAGGGTAGGCTGTGTTTGCTGAGTACTGTCCTGGGTACCTGGTGTGAACTTGAATGTCTCCATTTCCTTCCTGAATCCCTGTTACCTCCCTCATTTACATTGCCATAGTCCTCACGTGGGCCTTCTTCCCCACTCGATGTGTTAGAAGACTTCCCAGGTGGCCTCTGCTCAGTGTCTCCGATGTCACTCATCTGAACAGAGCCCCGGCACCCTTCCTCCTGAGTACGGATCTCAGTGTGTCCCACACCTTCACAAACTGTCCCTGCAGACTTCGGGCACGTGATCTAGCTGTGACCTCTCATGTATTTAAAAGTGATTCGACACTTGCTGGATTGCGCACAGCCACACCACTCGTTAGCTCCTCCTCCCCAGAACTTCTGATTTTGCTCTATTGTTCTCTTAGTCTGTCGCCCTGCTTATTCATTCTTCCTCTTCCTTCTAGGCCCAGTTCAGACACCATTCGTTTTAAGGAGCCTACCCTAGTTCCCTCTGTCCATACCTGTTGCTAGATTCCTGTCACTGCAGTAGCTGTGTAGTGCCCTCATCAGTGGCTGCGTCGTCACCAGTCTTGGTGAAGCTCCGTAAATGCGTGAGGTGGCCCTCGTGCCATGCCTCCCAGTACCTAGCGGGCACGCACATTGGTTTGGACAGTGCTCGGACATCAGAATGACCGGTGCCTACTTGAGCCAGGTTTTCCTGAGGCGCGGCCTCGGCCCATATGCTTCCTAAAAAAGCCTGCACGTGATTCCAAAAGAGACTGCTTTCTTCTGGGTCTTATCCCAGCGACCGCAGGTACCAGGGTCTGTGGGTGGATCTGCTGACTGGCTGACTGAGTCTTCCCTTTTCACACAGATCTTCACTACACGAGTCTTACAAGTTGCCTTTCTATATTTAGAGAGAGATTCTTGGTCAGAATATTCATAAATTTAACTTTATTGTGCTTGTACACCTGGGTTTCTATTTCACAGATCATGACCTTTTTTTCTCTTGATTTGTAATATAAGTTTGTCATTGAAAATGCCCTGTTCAGACGTCAGCACTGAGCCTAAACTGAGTAATTCAGAGACAGTAAATGAGCGTTGTAACTGGATTTGGATGAACTGTCTGAGGAGGAGTCTCTGTAAGAGTCGGGATGGATTCCGACTTGATGCGTCTTTCTCAGCCCCACAGTTTCTGGACTCTCAGGAAAGAACTTGATGTGTTTTTGAAAGAACAGGAGTAACAAGGTAAACTCTTCTGTACCAGTTTATCAGTTGGAATTCTCAAAACCATGCACTGTCAAGGGGTGCTCCTCCCACCCCTAGGCTTTGATACTGAAAGCTTCACCAAGTAGGGGGAATACAGTTTTTTCCTATTTCAAGTTTTTTGGTTTTATAAGACAAAATGATTTATTTCTGTATGTACCTTAAAGCACTGATAGAGACTTAAAATTTGATTTTATGCCTTTAGGGTTAAAATAATGGTCTTTCCTTTATCCCATAAATAAGACCACTCTGATGGCTGACAGTGTTAAAACTGATTACAATAACTTTCAAACATTTTTGACCCTGTCCTACGGAAATGTTTTATGTAGTGACCCAGTACATACCAAATATATTTGTGAATAATTGAAAAAAGTTTCACAGAACAATCACCTTACCACGTTGCACTGATTGCTACCCACCAAATGGGTTTCACCCCGCACTGGAAAACCCTGGTCCGTCCACAGATGGTGAGAGACTCCTGAATGCCTCCCCGTAGCCAGAAGACAGGCCTGACTTGGCAGACAATAAGAACCAAAGTATCTGTGAAGGAGACGTGTTCATTTTACCTTTGGTGACAATAGTGTGTGTAATGTTTCATATGTATTAACATCACACATAAA